AAAAAAAAAAAAAAAAAAAAAAAAAAAGCCGAGTGTGGTGGTGCACTCCTGCAATCCCAGTACTTGGGAGGCTGAGGCAGGAGGATCACTGTGAGTTCGAGACCAGTCTGGCTACATAGTGAGTTCCAGGTCAGTCTCCACTACATAGTGACACCCTGCCTCAAAAAACAAAACAAAACAAACAAACAAACAAACAAACAAACAAAAAAAAAATATATATATATATATATCAACTAATATGAAGGCAGAAAGGTTTGAGATATTTTTAATTCCACAAGGTCTCAAGAAATATCTTCACAGCATCCTCTTTGTTTTGGAAGCTCCCAGAGGTTGCCGTATACAAAAAGAGAGATGGTAAATCAAGAAGAGATTTGAATTCAGAACCTGGAGACTCAAAGAAGTTCTGGTTTAGCCAGCCAGTCTAGAGAGCTTTTATCGCACTGCAGGGGAGTGGAAGCCTACCCAGAGACACTGGGTGTGAATTAAAATGGGCATAGAAAATCGAGTGGAAAAGCAGTCCTTTACTGTTGATTGATTGATTGGTTGATTTGGCGGCATCAGGGATTGAACTCAGGACGTTGTACTTGCAAGGCAGACATGGAGCCACTGAGCTAAATCCCCAGCCCAAGCTGAGTCCTTTATTACAGAATGCACATGAGAAAGGATGCGGGATTGGCCAACTGAGGCTCAGTGTGAAGACCTCAGTGATCACGAGACACTGGTTGGCAAGGCCCATGCTGTCCTTGTCCTGAGGCCAAGGAGGGGGCGTGTGTGGCTAAGTGTGCACAGCAGGGAGCAGGGTCAAGCCACTTCCTCACCCCAAACTGTGCCTAGCATTGAAGTGCCAAGAATCCGCAGGCCACAGGCACCCACTTGTTTAGAGACGCAGTCTCAGTGGTGCTGGAGACAATTTGCCAAGTTAGAGGCTCTACTTTTGTGTGAGTCCAGGCAGGAAGGCTACAGGCAGCTGCTTTCCTGGTGCACCTCAAGGGGTATCTGGCACTGTGCTAGTTTGATAAACATGCCAAACAAGTGAGATGTCCCTGGCAGCACACATGTACACAGGAACACACAAGTGTGCACAAACAGCCTAAAAGGTCAGATTTAGCCCCGAATTAAAAGCAAGTTCCCAAAGTGTGCTGTGAGTGGGTCCTGCCCGGATGCACAGGGGCCTTTCCAACCCTGTGCACAGTGCCCTCAGAGTTGGGTAACTGCCCTCCCAGACTCCCTTCATGGCACACACAAGACGTGTCTTGGGGAAGGATGAAGCTGAGCACACAGCTTCGATTATTCCCAGGGAAATGGAGAAAATGTACAAAATGCAAATCTGATATTGTTTGTGACCCATTTGGATGTCATTTACTGGTGTGAGCACCGGTGAGCATAGACTCATGGTGCCAGCGACAAGGCCCTGAGGATTCTAAGCCCATTACAGCTGGATCAGAACTGAGATCTGACTCAATCTTTGCCACTACCAGAGAAGTTAATGATCAGGAGAGACGAGCGGTTTTTTGGGTTTTGTTGGGATTGAGGTTCCCAGGGCGAGAAACACAGGAAGGTACAGGAGCCCCAGAATATGGCAAGTGACATTGTATGACACATTGTGGGAACAGCTGACATTCCACCAAGAAAAGACCAGTTCTGCCCAGTTTTGTTCCCCTGCTTGGGGTGCATTCAGCAAGATTCCTCCCTTCTGCAGGTGGAGAGGTTGAGTCTTGGAGAGTCTGGCAGTCACTCAGGTTGCAGTGGTCACTGAGACCTCTCCCCTGGGCATTGCAGCATCCCTGACCAGGGAAGAGGTGGGTGGAGGGGCAAACAAGCCTTGTCCTAGGAGTCCCTTCTGCAGTTCCCACAGTGCCGCAGCATCCTGATGGAGAGGACAGGCGCTGCCATAAGGTTGGAGGCTGGGCTCAGGCTTGCAGTGTAGACAAAGCACGAACCGCTCCACTCTTAGCCTCTGTAGTCTGTCCCAGTCCTGTAGCTCCTGCTTGAGGTCCAGGAAGGCTTCTGCCCTTGACAAGAATTCTCCCCAGGAACCCATGCACTCTGCTCAGTGTTCTCACAGATACTCTGAGGAAAAGGGAGTGGAAGACAGAGAGCCCACCTCACCTTATTTTCTGTGCTCTGGAGCCACCTTGGGGAAAGCCCAGCTCCTTCCAGGGAGGCAGCTGCCCCAGACTTGGCTGCTCCCTGGTCCTTGCCAGAACCTTGCAAGTGTGAGGGTGCTAGGGATGAGACCCCAGCTTCTGAGCTGTCCCATGCCCCTGCTTTGGGAAAGGGAAAAGGGGGTCACTTCTTATCTACTCAGGGATGCATGGCCAAACCAGGCCTTGGTGCTGTCTCTTCCCCGGATATTTGTGGCTCTACTCACACACACACTTTAGTTTAAAGCGAGTTATTGTTGGTTATGCTTGGGGCAGACAGGTCACGTGACCTTGCCCAGGAGGTTTCCAGTCTAAGTAAAAGAGACAAAACAATTCAAGGAATAGAAAATACATCTCCTGCAAATGAGAGGCCACTTTCTGCCTCAGAGGGGAGAGGTTATTGGCTTCTTTTTCTTCTTATTCATTCTTTTTCGCCTGGAGGGTAAATTTTCCACTATGCCTTGCTGTGAAACCCTCTAAATGGGAAATGCTGTGTTAATACGCATTTATAGCATCTATTTAAGAGGAAATCCAGCCAGTTTACATGGGAAAGGCTGCCTGGCCTCAGCCTCCACAGATGCCATGGAGGCAGGAATGCTGCAGGGTGGCTGTGGAATCATCTTGGTGCCCACTGCAAGCTCAGCAACCACCACCCTTGCTGCTGCTCCTGCTGGGAGGGTGAGATCCAGGAATGCCATATACCTCTTCCAGGAATGGTATGTGCACACCTGCAGGAGGTGGGAGCAGAAGCCTGGGTGATGTTCATGGGAGCAGAAGTGTGAGCTGGGCTTCTCCTCCAGCTCCCCTGGGCCACCACCATGCAGAGAGGACAGGTTGGACTGAGGCCTGCATTCTGTGGTCTCAGTCTCAAAAGTACCTTTTCCAGGCTGGAGAAGGAGTATACCTTTCCAAGCCCCTCCTCAGAGGCTGGGGTAGTGCAGCTCTGCTACCAGGAGGAGGGTCCCACCCCTGCCCAGCTTTCTGTCACTTCACCCCCACTGCAGCTCCCAGATGTGAGGCAGCACTGGCGCCCTGGATGCCCCATCCCAGGAATTCCCAGGTCAGCTACTACAAGTGACTTTGGGTTTGGATTTGTGTCCATATCAGCTTGCTTGTGACACTTTTCTTAAGGGACAGTTTAGGCCAAGTGAAGGACAGGTATCATTTAGCTTATTCCTGTGGCTACATGGGTGGGTCTATCTTGGGCAAGGGACCATCAGCAGTGGCTACAAGCTTCCTCCTTATCCCATTTGGGAGGGGAGAGGTCCTGGCCACATCTCAGAGGTGGTTTGGGACAAAGGACTCTAAAACTAAGCACTTTACCCTACCCTTGGATAGAAACACTCATTTTGTTACAGGTCAGGAAGAGAGGCATAGGGGCTGCAGACACCTTGGTCACACAGCATGAATGCAGGTCACTGGCCTCAGTGTTCCTTTTCTGGGACCCCAGAGTTAGCAGCCATCATCAGGGCTCTAATGTAATCCCCATGTGATGGGCCCCTTCCCAAGCTGTGGACGCCATGACTATAGAACCACAGACTAAACAGCTGAGGCATAAACTGGGGAACACTGCTCAGGGACTGTCCCAGTGACAAGCCCAGGCTCCTCCCACAGGAGCATCTGGGGTTCTGGCCTTGAAACCCATAGGGGATGGCAATGCAGGCTGCAGCTGCTCAGTCCAGAGGACAATCCCTTGGGCTCCTTCCCTCCATTCCTCAAAGGCTCACACTTCCCCAGCACCCACCTCATCCCACCACGTAATCTGCCCCAGTTCCCACCTGCCTCTACACAATGCCAGCACACCAGCAACCCTTCCAGGCTGCACCCTGACCCTCTTGGGGGTGGGAAGGAGAACACACAGCTCAAGATATCCTTTCACCCCGTGCACTCTCTCAAGGGGTGGGGACAGAGTGCAGAAGGGAAAACTTGGTTGCCCAGAGTGCATCTGCTATGCAAATGGTCACCTAGAAATTATTCTGGGGGTGGGGGAACCATTACACATGATCAGAAGCTTCATCACCTTTCCCAGCTGTCAGTAGCATAAACTCTTCAGTCTCAGAAGTCTTTATTCACATCTTTACTTGGTATTCAATAAGGCTGTATATTTTACTCTCGTTTTGTTTTTAACATGTGTTGCCCTTACAGCAGTCCTCAGTTCACAGCATCACCGACTGAGCAGAATTACAAAGATTCATAAAACCCCACCAAATGCTAGCCCCACTCCTGCCAGTGGATGTCAGTCACCTACAGGGATGTGAGGATCAGGGGACGGGACAAGGTCAGGACCAGAGGATGGCTGGTGACCACAGAGTGGGGCCAGAGGTGGGGGAAAGGGTTAAGAATCCAGATTGGAGGGTGTGGCAGGATGAGGTTGCAGGGTTGGCTCAGCTTGGGCTTCTAGGCCAATGCAGTGAGGCCCAGGTGCAGCACCAGTGGGACCACAGAGGGGCTGGGCCAGAGGTGGGTGGGACCTGTGAAGGAGCTGGGGACCTGGGGGCGGGATCCAGGGGCAGGATGGCAGCTGGAAGGCTGCCACGCACTTCCAAAGGCACCCAGGTGGCCCTGCAGGTGGGGGCAGGGTGTCTCTGGCTATCCACACCCGAGCCACCTGTGTCTGCCACTTCCCTGCTGTACCGAGTACATGGGGCCCTCACGACTGCCAGTGGCCCTGCTGCTTCTGCAAGTCCTGCTGCTGGGTGCCATGGGATCGAAGGAGCCTGATGTGCGCTGTGGTGGTGAGTGCCTTCCACAGCTCCAGCCCTGTCATCCATCTCAGATCCACAGCAGAAGCCTCCCCCCACCACTGTTCCTATTCAGTGCCTGGAACCAGCCTTGCCTCTGTGGGTCCTGGTTCCCTGAGCCAGGGTTTTGTTTCCTTCCCAGACACATTTAGGATGGCTGCAGGGCACCGGCTTACTGGAGGGTTTGGGGCTTCTGCATTTCAATCCCTGGGCACTTTGGCAGTGTCTCTCAGGGTCCATCAGTTCTTGGTCACTGGTTAGTTACTGATGTAAAGACACCCTGGGTGTCTGGGTGTGACTTTGCCCCTGACACTGATGGGTGCCATCCCCAACCAGTCATGAAAGGCTTACTTGTCACTCCAAGTGCAGTGTGTGTGTGTCTGACAAGAGCCTTGGAGGTGTGGGTGTCCAGGTGAGACTGGGCTGAATAGGGGTGATGAGGTATGGCATCCTGGGTGTCCAGTGTGGCTGGCAATGAGCTGCTCTGGGCCAGCTCTGGGCTCAGTGGCATCTTGGGTATTGGGTGGGGCACTCTGATCTTTGCCTGGTGCCTTGGAATGTCTGTGGCCCCTCGTAATGGCTGTGGCATCTTTGGGTTGCAGTGGGTCATTATGCCCATCCCAGCTCTGTCTGGGATCTCTGACTGAGCTGAGCTGGCTTCCCCAACCAGGCTTGGGACTGAGAGGAGCTGAGGGGGAGTAGGATCAGGTGCCTGGGTGTGCACAGTGGCTAAGGACTGGGGCATTGTGGGGGACTGTGCAGCCAATGGGAGCCAACGGAGGGGGAGTTGGCTGAGGCTAAAGAGGAGAGAGAGGATGGGATAGAGCCAGAGGGGTCGGGTTCTGGGTCTTCCTGGGATGTCCCCTCACTAGGGTGTTAGTGAGAGCCTCTTCCTATAGCCTGGCACCCACTCCACCCCACACCCTGAGCACAGGCAACCAGAGATGCAGCTAAGGAGCCCACAACCAAAGACCCACCCTGTTGTCTGATGCAATATCTGAGGTTGTTTCACTGGGGGACCTCAGAAGTTCCTGCTTGAGTGTGATCACACATCCCAGGGAGAGAGGGTCAGCTAGGAAGATGGGGGACAGAGCAGGGCTGTGAGGGACAGGGCTCAAGGAAGATGAAGCCCAGGAGGCCTGGCAATGCTATCCTAGAGCAGGGTGTGGTATACCACCGTGCATCAAGGCATGCAAAAGTATTGACTTGTGATGTGCTCTGAACACATGAGGTACAGGGTTGGGCACACAGGGGCAGTGACACCCCAAGACAGGCTGGGCATCAGGGTGTGAGGTGGGGCCGAGGAGAGACCCCAGGACAGAGGGTGACATGGACGCCCCTGTGTGAGCGCCAGCTTCTGATGATATCTTTCTTTTAGGTTTTTTCTCTCTCTCTTGTCCCCCCACCCAAGAGGGAATATTCTCTATAATCCCTGGGAGGCTGAAACAAGAGAATTTCAAGGGTGAGCCCCACCTGAGCAACTTAGTGAGACCTTGTCTCAAAATAAAAATACAGAGGGATGCAAATGTAGCTCAGTGTGAAGGCCCTGGTTCAATCCCCAGCACCACACACATACAGGAGAAGGCCCCATGGGGTGAGACCAGAGGATCTGGAGGCGGGGCTGTAGTTGGTGGACTTTGCTCATCTGCTACTAGGACAGTGACTTTTGGGACCTTTGCTGAGCATCAGTGTCCTTGGAGCAAGCCAGACCTGAGGCTGTCTTCAGCCCATGCTTCAGCTAGGTCTGGCGGGAAGGAGCTCAGAATGAACGCAAAGGCCTCTGGGATAAACAGCCTACTGAGGAGAGATGGTACCCTTGGTGCTCTCTGATGCCTCCCTCCCTGTGGAGTCAGTGGTGTGTGAGTATGTGTGTGAAGTGTACAGGTGTGCATTTTTTTCACTTTCTGAGAGGATGGGAATTAAACCAGAGACAGAAACACCTGAAAACAGGCTTTTATTAGGGGGATGGGGTGTGGAGGATGGGGTGCCCCGATGTCTCTGACAATTTCAAGAGTAGAGGGAGGGGCTGGCTGGGTGAGGTTTTATATGGGCAAGGGGGGAACATAGTGGAGGTAAATATTTGGCTGCAGCCAGAGGTGAAATTTAAATCTGTTGGAAAGTTTAAATTTCCCAGTGGGAAGGACTAGAGGTGGGAGAGTTCTGTGGTGGGAAAGCTGGGTCTTTGTTTCCCTGGAGTGATTTATTATCTGATGGGAAGAGCCTTTTAGGGTGTGGGGTTAGGGACATTGTATCTAGCAGGGAATTCCATCATGTTGCTGAGACCCTGTGCCCAGCACTCAGAGCATTTATAGGATTCAGTCCACATCGGCCAGGAGGACAGCTGCTCACGTCACATGTTCCAGAAGCAGAGAGCAGGGAGGGACCAGGAGGGGGACACACCCTTCCAGTCCACCCCACTGACTGCCCAGCCAGGCCCAGCTTCTAACACACATTCGGCTCTGATTTGGCCACCTCCCACCCCCTCTGCTTTGGGACAGTCTAAGCATGGACAATGTGAGTGTCCCTGGCGTGTTGGGTGTGATGCGTGTAAGTGTGCCCATGGTGTGAACTCACGAGCATCAGTGGTGTGTTGAGAATCTCGTGCACACCCTCCAGGACCCATCCTGTGTCCTTGGTTACTGAGCCCCTCATAGAAGACCAAAAGCTGTGGCTTTGGGGCACAGCTTCTGGGGTTGTGGGCTCATCCCCAGCTCCTTCCCAACCCCTGTATGGGGTCACCCCAGGGCTCACCCTGGGCTGCATCTGTTGAGTTTATTTCTGCCATCCTCTCACATCCCTTCCTTGGAGAGAAGGCTGAGGCAGGATTCCTCCTTGTCCTGGGATGGCCCTGTAAGGTGGGTTCCAGCAAGGCATTGCTGCAGGTCCCTGCTTCTCCAAGGCCACCCACACACTCAGCCAGTCTCAGCCCTGTCCTCTTGCCAAGGGGTTCAGACTGGTGAATAGAGCTGATCTCTATCTCTGTATCTCATGTCACTGCTGGCAGACCTCTCACCAGCCCTCAGAGAGGGACCCTTGGGCCATTGATTTAGTGACATCTACCAGCTAAGGATTGATCCACTTTTGTTACACTAAAAATGCTTTAACAAGTTCATTTGGAATCAGAGACAGCAAGGATGCTCCTTAGGTTTGGATGGTGCCCCCAAAGCAGGGGTCCTTTGGAGCCATGGGATCAGAGCACCCTGCCCAGGGCACGCAGCCCTCGGCTGTGGAGAGAAGAGGTGGGGGGGGTAAACGAGCCTCACTGTGGATATCAGTGAAATCACTTGGCCTTGCAGTTCCTGTGTGGTCACATAGGCTGTAGGACTGAGAGCAAAAGATGAAGTCAAACCCGGTGTGGTGGTGCACACCTGTAATCCCAAGACTCAGGAGGCTGAGGCAGGAAGATCACTGCGAGTTCAAGGCCAGCCTGGGATACATAGCAAGGCCCTTTCTCAAAAACCAAGCAGACAAAAAGGATGGAGTGAGACTGTCATCAACCATCGCCTGTGAACAGCTGCTGGGTCCCCAGTTCTTTAAGCCAGAGACAGAAACACCTGAAAGCAGGCTTTTATTAGGGGGACGGGGTATGGAGAATGGGGTGCCCGGCTGTCTCTGACAATTTCAAGAGCAGAGGGAGGGGCTGGATTCAAAAGGGAGTTTCCCAACTGTGCCCAGTGAAATGTCTATGAGGCCACGAAACGGGGCATAATGACCTCACAGGCCCAGCCCCTTTGTCTCCTGTTTCCCTGTCACTTGCCCTCTGTTCACATAGCCTTATTTTTCTCCAGCACTGTGTCCCTTGGCTGTCACTAACAAGCAGCCACACAGTCTCAGTGGCACTTGACTCCAAGCTGCTGTGGATTCGGGTCAGGATCCCGGCTGAACACAGCTCTGAGATGTCCCCTGTGGCTCACTGTGATCTGCCCAGAGGCTGCTGGGATGTGTCCTCCTCTTATGACTGCAGCAGTATGGGGTGAGGGGGAAGCTGGGAGCCTCATGAGGCCAGGCTCAGAGCTGGCTGTGTTATTGCCACATTGCAGACATCCCTGGGTGCCCCTAGAGTCCCCATGTCTGCAGGTGCTCAGCTTCCCGCTGTAGAGGAGAGTGGCATTCACACAACCCATGCACATCTCCCCAAGACTGTGTACCCCAGACGGTGCCACAGCTGTGCTCTGTGCTGGAGGCATGCAGCGGGGAAGCACCGGTATGGATTCTGGACTGAGGCAAACACTGCCCAGCTGCAGTTAGCTAATTCTGAGGGCTCAGAACCAGAACCAGAGGGCCAACTGCGCAGAGGGATGTCTTGCACCTGAGCCTGAGGCCAGTGGTGGGGTGGGAAGAACTACAAACCTATACAGCAAAGGATCTAGACTAAGTGGCTGTCCCAGGAGGGCCAGCTCCAACAGGGAGCCAAGGTGCCTGTCCCCAAGGCCTAAGTGTTCCTATCCTTTCACTCTCTGCTGTCCGCTGCCTCCTCCCTTGGCCCCAAGTGACTAACTGACCAGCTTGTCCTAATCAGGTGAGGCAGGCGACAGGCTGTCTGGAGCTGGTGTCTCCTAGGAGTGTGACCAAAAGGTGTCTTTCACTGGCCTCTGTGGCTGTAGTCTGCAGATCCAGAGCCTCTGCGTGATGTTCCTATAGGAGAAGCTCTGAATCAGAGCCCATGGCCCCATCACAGAGCTCTCTACAGTTTGGCAGCAGCCCCAGGGAGGCAATGGGTATCCCCGCTTTTCCTCAGATGTGGGTCCCTGCATGAGGAAGCCAGCTGCCTTCCAGAAGGGGCTGACCCACCACTCTCAAAATGATATCTCTGGCAGGGCCATCATCTTTGCTGGAACTGTCATGGGTATTCTTTGGCCTTTTGGGGGGACTTCACCTTTTCACTGGGCATGGCAGACGTCTGAGGCCCCTGGGAAAGGTGCAGAGCCTTCAGCTGTGTCTGAAATGCCTTGGCAATGGTGGAGTCTGCTGATGGGCGCAGCAGACTTGCCGAA